GGCCTGCTTAGGTTACTATCCAGGGGCGTGCACAGACTGTTTTAAAATCCTTTTTATTCCTCTATCTGCTTTGTTCCTATCCAGTGACACTGGAACACGTTAAATAGCGGAGGTGCTGAAACCCAGCCCCATAACCCCGTCCGTAACCCCCCACCTCCCTGAGCTGTGGCCGGGACCGGGACCATGTCTCCGGGGACGAGGCTGGGGCTGGCAGCTGGAACCCTGCGTAAAACCACTGGTCAGGTTCCTGAAGGGAAGAAATGATGGCATCCAACTCAGTCTGGCCTTCCAGGTAAGCAGGGTTGATGCACAGGGTGCCGTGGCTGAGGGCCTGGACTAAGGCCTTGGCTACAGCGGTTATAGGTGCTGATTCTGTGAGTTCTCTGGGGCTGGAGCACTTTATGAGGAAAAAATGGTGGGTGCTGAGCCCCCACTAGCAGCCCCTGCATCAGAACTTCCCCCTCCTCCGCACGCCTCCTGCCCACCCGTGGGTCAGCGCCTCCCCCCAACTGCAATCAGCTGTTTCACAGTGTTCAGGAGGCTCTGGGGGGGGGGGGGAGGATTGAGGATGTTGCATGCTCGGGGGGCGGGGGTGGGACAGGGCGAGAAGAGGCGAGGTGGGGTTGGAGCGGGGGCAGGGTGGGGTGGAGCCTTGGGGGGAAGGGGTGGAGTGGGGGCGGGACTTGGGGCAGAGACAGGTGTCGAGCACCTCCCGGCACTTTGGAAAGTCGGCGCCTGTGACAGTGCTGATGGTGTGTAAGGTTTGTGTAGCTACAAGCCATAGTGAAAAGCAGGCTGCACCCATGCTGCAGCATGTAGCTACACACAGGAGAGAGAAGCTCTGGTAGGGGGAGGCAAGCGGGAAAGACTGCACTACAAAGTTCATTCAGCACGAGTTACGGTCAAGGTGATGCGTGACTGTCGCCAGCAACTCATGGCATCACATTGCGCTGTGCGGCAGCTCCTATATTGACTGCGTAAATACTGCAGGATAAGGTGTGAGGTCAGTGTACAGCAGAGCGGGGTCCATGCTTATCGTGCTGTGGCATCTGCACAGGTAACCCAGGTTTATGAAACAAAGTGCGGAAAATGCTTGGTTTGTTTGATTTCAGGGAGGAAAGTGCATCATGGGAGGCTAATGCAATATTCCCATAACCACCTGTGCCCATGTTTTTGTCCCATAAGGCATTGCAAGCCCAACCCAACATTCCACTCAGCTATATGCACTATGGGATAAGCTACCCACAGTGCAGTGCTGCGTGCATCGATGCAAGCCCAGCTCGTGAGGATGCACTCCGCCGACACAATGAGCATAGCGTGGACATGCAAGACTGACTTGCTTAAATTGGAGGCTCGATGTCGACTTACATAAAGTCGATTTAACTTTGTAGTGTAGACATGGCCTGAGATGTGAAAATTATCTCACCTGTGCCTGCAAAGAATTGTGTATGTGAAAAGGGAGACCAGACTCTGAAATTCTGCCAAAAGTATTAATACAGGTAGTTGTAAGCAATATTGAAAGTTTATACTTGTACTACTGTAAAATACAAAATGTTATGAATACTGTAACAAAATATAGTAAGAGTTTTTTTCCTTTTGGCACAAAAATATTTAAGATGAAAAGAAAAGCTGGGGAATAAATTAAAAAAAAAAAAGCAGAGTGGGGGAAGTTAAGAAAGGAGGTTTTTCTCTTAAGTGAGCATTCTGAATTACAAGGGGTGAAATCATAGCCCCCTTGAAGTTAATGGCAAAACTTCCTTTGCCATCAATGGGCCAGGCTTTTACCTTTGATCTTCTGTTGTCAAAATAATTTACAAGCCAACAGTGTACGTGTACAGACTTCTTTGCCTCATCTGCGTATAGCTGTGCAGATTTACCGAATCTCAAGGTTCTGCCTATTTCAGGACAACTACACCTGTATTTCTCCTCCGTGATCCCTCGAGGGCATTCACTTGAGGTTTCTAACTCGCAGCCATCACTTCTATTGGATGGAGACCCACCTGACTGGGGGGTTTCAAGGCTGCACCGCTCCCTGCCTTACTTTCATAGCAGCCACAATCAATTACTGACTTACTGTCATTGCAAATACATAAATTCACCATGCTGAATTTTTCCATTTACCTTTGCTCCAAAATATGGCTTGGGTTCACAGCTATTAAGCTGTGGTAGTGTTAAATTTTAAATGTGTTCTGTAAATCCTTTCATGTGTTTGTTCTACAACACTTTTAAGTTTTGCTTAGTACCTTTTGCTTTGCAGGCATCTCAAAGGTCTTTATATAAAGCATTGTGTCAGACTGACCAGAGATAATTATGTGCATTCAACAATACCTTACGCTCAGCCAGATGCTTCAGTGATGCCTGTTCCGACTGGGAAGTTGTTCTGGGCGTTGCACAGGAATGGTCTTATTTTGTACAGTTCCCAGTTGCGTTAGATGGTTAGGAGAGGGAAGTCAGGAGAAATGTGGGCTCTGATCTTTCTCTAACAAAGTGGTGATGCAGTAGCAAGCCACTAAACTTTGAAGACAGGCTGGCTAGCTCAGTTGGTAGAGCATGAGTCTTAATCTCAGGTTTGTGGGTTCAAGCCCCATGTTGGGCATTTGATCTTGGGAGAGGGATAGCTCAGTGGTTTGAGCATTGGCCTGCTAAACCCAGGGTTGTGAGTTCAATTCCTGATGGGGCCACTTAAGGATATGGGGATTGGTCCTGCTTTGAGCAGGGGGTTGGACTAGATGACCTCCTGAGGTCCCTTCCAACCGTATGATTTCCTGGCCCCAGTCACATGACATGGGCCAAGGTTACAAACAGTTAATACCCCTGTCACACAGCAGAGATCAGTAACCACTAATTCCTGCTACACCTCCCTCTTTGTGCCCTGTGAAGGGGAAGTAGGGTTAGGGAATAAGTTGGTAATTCTGTGTAGGACTGAAATGTAGCTGGGTCATTTGTGTTTATCCTGTTTTTTTGTTTGTTTTTTGTTTAAACTTGTCCTGTCCTCTCTTGTACTCTTGATCCTGGCATCTCTTTGAAAAAAGGGAACATGAAATATCCCAGCTGGGCAACCTACAGGAGAAGAGAGAGGCATAACCTCAAACACTAAGGGTATGGCTACACTACAAGGCTTTTAGCGACACGACTGTACCGCAACAAGGCCCACAGTGTAGCTGCTGTTTGTTGTCAGGAGAGAGCTCTCCTGCCGACAAAGCACTGTTCACACAGGCACTTTTTGTCATTTGGGAGGGGGCAGGGGGTGTTGTGCGTGTGTTGTTGTTTTTTTTTTAAACACCCCGAACGATAAAAGTTTTGCCAATGAAGTGCCAGCGTTTTGTAGACAAAGCCTAAGTGGAGTAAGGGCCCATTGTCCTCTCTGCTCCTGCAGTGGCCCCTCTTATGGCTTGAAATCTAGAGATGGACAAGGAATGAACCAACACATCCCTCTCCCCTCCCCACATGAATACAGATCACCCCAGCACTCACTTTTGTATAGTATCTGCCTCATGCTCTGGAACCCCAAGGTGGCCTTTTGAGACAGCATTAAGAGGCCCTACCACTGTGACACCATGAACTGAGCCAAGCCACAGGACTTCCATGCAAACTACCCTGGTCCTTGGTATGCATCTCCCCAAATCTGAGTATTGAGGTCTGAATCCCATGTATTTTGAAATAGGGGGTTTGTTTAACCCCTGATAGAATAATACAGTAGAAAGCATCTGGTCCAAGCTATGTGTTTTTTCCATGTGGCCAAGGATCTGTTTGACAAATCTTGGTCTCCTTTCTGATTGGTACAGCCATCATGCCCTCTGTAAAAGCAAAGTAGGAATTGGAGGGTCTATGATGAGTTACCAACAAGTATTTATCCATTTTTTCCTTTTTTAAAAAAAAAGTGGAACAGCCCTCATGTATGACATCCATCCTACCAAAAACAAGTTATTCTCTTCTATGTCAGAGGTTGGATCTTCAGCAGGTGTAAATTGTCCTAGACCCGTTGACTGCAATGGACCTAAAACAATTTATGCCAGCTGAGGCTCTGCCTCCTGTAACTGTGGAAAGAACATGCCAGCTCCCTAGGTTTCCCCACATCCTGCCTAATACAGATGCAGTTAGGACAGATCCTGCTTGTTCATGTTGTCTCTCCATCTCAGATTTTTTTTTTCTGCTGCTGACTTAAAATTCGGTTCCTTAAAATGATTTCTAGAACCCTTCTGATGTTGGTAAAAATTCAGACATTCATTTGTTTTGTAGTTAAGTAATCCAGCTCAGAATAGGCGTATTTCTGGTAAAGGAGTTTTTGCGGAAATGTTAAATTAGCAGCTGCAGGCAAAACTGTGTCCAAGATGATTTATTGCAATTCATTGCTACTGCTCATAATGAAAACAATTAAGGGGCGTAAGTGATGCCTCCATTTTATGGGACATACCTGAGTCTGTATTTAGCCATTTATGATACTGATGCTTATGGATAAAGTAAGTTATTTTTTAATCCATCTTTATTCAATATTTTCTGTTTTTCCATATTGCAGCTGCAATATCTTCGTTCAGGCTGCTGATTTAAATGGATAGAATAGCTGCAGGTTTGGGTGTTTTTTTTTTAAACTTGCTTTGGAAGGCTGCATAAGTATCAAATTCTAATCTTTTCATTAGTATTTCAGTCCACATTATAATTAAACTAGATGGTGGTCTGTACTAAGCTCTGAATTTAATTCTCTTCCTTCCTCATCCTACTGGATAACATCACAGCTGTTCCTAAAATGAGATCATTCTAAAGTTAAAAATAAAAAACTTTACTGCTTTTTCTAATTTTTTATTACATTTCTGTAGTATTAAATACATACAATGATCAGAAAGATGGCAGGATAAAATACCTATATTTTGAAAGTTCAGAATTGTTCAAGTCAAGTCATCTTCCCCCTACAATACAATATATGGTTACTAAATATAGTCTACAACTCTGCTGGAGGGGAGGTAAGGAGCCAGCAAGGTACAGTAAAATAAGCAATAAAAACATTGTTTAAAGTGGATTTATTAAAGGTTTATTAATAGAAAATGTGACCAAGTACAATTTTTCTGTAAGAATTTTTAATAAAAAAAACATATCAAAGAAAGGGAGGAGCACTAACTCTCATCAGAGCACAGCAAGGAAAAACCTATTGTGATGAGCAAATTTTTTGCAGCATGTTCTACCAGCTAGTCCCAAAGTGTACAATATGCACTACACCAAAGGAGGAAGGAAAGAAAGAGCACAGATCAAAGCAGATTATACATTTTTAGTCTTTTTAGCAGAGATGTATAAGAATGCTCCTCCCAACATTGTGGAAAATTTCTTAAGGAGCTACAACTATTGAAGTAAAGTTAAAGTTTATGCCTCCTGCTTGGATTTAAAGCATTTATTGTGTAGCCAAATATTCCAACGAATAGAAAGCACTTAGACCTGAAGTTCTATTAGTACCTGTGAAATGCATGTTAGTGTCATTCATCAGTTTAAAAATTTTTTCCAAGGACTTAGTCTACAAAAAAAAAAAGTACAAATCTGCACCATTTACTACATCGGTAGAATTTGTGCTCAAGTTATAATTTTAATGCCAGATGAGTGTAACGGCTCCAACAAGAGTCATTTAGAAACATTAAACTGAACAGCAAAAGTTGTAAATATCCAGGCTCATAGAAATCTGGCAAAAATAAAAGGAGCAAACTTCTCAAGTTTTCTCCTGAACTGCAGAGTACTAATACAAGACCCATTTTATAGCTTTTTTTGGGGGTGGGGGTGGGGGGGAAAGGGGTACATATCAAGGAGGAATGAAAGAAAGAAAATTCTAAAATATTATAAGGCTATGCTACTAAATACACTTAACCTAAGTATGTGTGGCAATTTAGCATTTAAACAAACTTGAATGAGGTTTCAGCTTAAGTTCATTTTATTACTAGAAGTGGGTATTTTTGTTTTGAACGAGGCTAGATTTTGAAATTAGTATTCCATTAGGCTCTACTGAATATCTTTTTACTGCTGTTGATACCAGCCTATGTCTGTCTACAAAGCAAGCAATACAGGACTGCATCAATCTGTAGACTAAAAAAAATTCCAACTCTTCCAGTACCTAAACAGACTTAGATCATATAGGACAACATTCCCCAGAAAGAACCAGCACATTTCACAGTGTAACTGCCACTGTTAAAGATTACAAACTGTCAAATGTCATCCCAAGGGAGACCTAGAGGAATTATAATCTAGCTGGTAGAGACTACCCATCAATTGGCCTTCATATAGCTTTGGCATGGACTCTAAATAAAATGAGTCACGTTTTTGCCAGCTATCGCAAACAAACATTCTGGGAACCACTTACTGAGGTAAAAGTGAAAGGTCATAAGCCTTCGGCATCAAAGAGACCATTCACTGGTTGTGCGTAAGGGGAATTAAGGCTTCAAGGCAAGGTAAACACAGTTGGAGTCAGTGTGTAAATCATGCTGCATTTCAGAGATGGCAGTTCAAATGACAGCTATAGTCTCAGTTTTCTATACTGAACACCAGCTAAGGATCATTCAAAAACAGAATGGGAAACCAGCTTTCCAAGTGCCCCATCTCCCCCCCACCCCAATTCTATTTCTATCTTAGGAGCAAACATCATCTGAGTGTTGGACATCACGGAGAACGTATCCACAAGGGAAAAGAGCACCAGAAACAAGATTGATTTGTCCTCCAGAGGAATGCCTGTTTTAAAAGGGTACAAACAGCCTTATTGCTCTGCTTTGCCACAAATTATATCAGTTTACTGTAACAAACTTAGGTGGTAGTCTCTACTCCTGGAGATACTGGTGTTTTATTCCAGCATTTCTGCTAGCAGTTATGTACCGTACCAAGGGAAGCAGTGGCCTTTGTAGGTTTGCATTTCCCTGAAGATTGTTTTTTTTTTACTTTATAACCCAAAACAAGCAATATTCCCTTATGTTTTACAAATATTTCCCCCAAAACAGACTTTATTCCACTTCTTGAGTACAGCTGCACTGCTACTTTAGACCAATTCTTGTGGCAAAACCCTTGCCCCCTCTCAAAAACTAGTGGTAGAGAAATTACTGACAAACTAAATATACAAAGTTAATACAATTTTTAATATGCTTATTTTTCCATGCCTTTTTTCATTATACAGTTACCTGAAGGAGGCATGACTGTTGTTTTGGTAGCTTATTTAGAGTAATACCACATTTTGATTTTTGTAGTGACCTATGGAATTGTTTGAGCCATGCTGGCTAGGTTGCTACTGAAAATAGAAACCTGTTCTTCATAGATTCACTTTTTAAATATAGAGGTTTTGATTAGGGGTTTGGGTTTTTTTGGTCCTTAATACATAAATTGGTAGAAAATTATTCCCCCCAATACAATAACTATTTAACTTGTAACAGACATTAAAAAAATCCAAAATGAGAGCACACTTCTATCACTGGATCATTTTAAAATACAAAATTGCATCTGGTCTTATAAAAATGTTTATACAAAGCCAACACTGAGTTTGAAACTTTTTATTAAAAAACACAGATGCTAGTAACTTAATATATAAAGAGAAAGATGCCCCTTTTTCTTTCCAAAAATTGCTCTGAACTATTTTGGAGTATCTTTACCAGTTGTCTAGAAAATCAAAGCCAGTCTTCAAGATAACATTGCTTGTATTAATCTGTAAGAGAAACACAAAATTTAGATAATTTTAGCATTTTCTTTAAATCAACAGGATCAAATGAACTGACTGGCCCTTAGATCTAAAAGAGTGTAAATAAAATGTTTAAAGCCCATAAATTAAGGCAGAGAGTCTACCACCATTTAACTTTCTTCCCCTGTACTCCTGCATGCTTGAAAAGCATCTGCACTGGAAAATACTAGACATATGTAACCCACATATGATTGAGGAGCAAAAAGGTGTTTCCAATTATCAGAGTAATACTGTGTGTTCTACTGGTCAAAGGATTTCTTTATTCCTTCTTGCTAACTCACATTATGATTATTTTTCAGGACGGGGGGAGGGGAGGGACATACATAACTCATCAACTGTACATTCTGATTCAAACAGATTACTTATTATGTAAGAACAACATTATCTACCCACATGCTTCCAAGTTCAGAAGGTCACTACTAACAAATTTAATTGAAATCTTACACACTTTCATACCGCTGGAGTATGCCATCATAAAATGAATTTAGGGTTTATGAAAGTCAATTACCCTGGAGATGTCATCTTTTTACAAAACAGGTGCAACACAAGATTCCCCACACTGACTTCCCTGTTGACGCACTGAAATTTTGACCAAGAAGAATCACTTTGGGGTCAAGACAATCATATTTGAACCAATTAGAAAAAAATACATTAAAATTCAACACAAGTTACTATGACAGGGTATATTACTGGCCATTAATACACACTTCCGCCAGTATTTATTTGCAGGGAGAAGCCAAGAAACTCCCCCACCCCCCTTTTCAAAAAAAGAAATAGCTTCCTAAACATTTTTCTTAAGTTTTGACAGTTTGATAAATATTGAGCACGGTGTGCAACTTTGACTTCAGTGGCCTCACATCAGCTCCCTACAAATTTCACAAATAAAATGGCTTATCTCTGATCTGTTGTAAGGAATGAGACTGTAAACCAAGTACCTTAACTACTTGAGGTATATAGTGATACACCACAAACAAACACTAGAATGTATTAGTGCATAGCCCCTTGAGGCAAGCTGTAGCAAGCAATGAAATAAGCAGTTAAGACATTCATTACCACATTTACACTCCAGTTTGCCTTCTCAACCTCATGTAAGTCTCCTCTGCCACCCATAGCATACACATCTTTGGGATTACAGACCGATGGTGGATGGCCATCTGGAAGAGCAGGGGATGGGGATGAGGTGGACTTAGGCCATGTGCAAGGTCTCAGAACTCAGTGTCTCTGCACCAACAGTGCCATGAAGAGCCCTTAATGCAGACACCTCAGCAGAGACACTTGGCTTTTCCAACACTGCTGCCTTTGTGCACCCAGGAGAAAAGGCAGCAGTGTCAGAGGAGCTCCTCCAATACCTTGATGCAGACACAATAGGCTCCTCTCTCAAACCAGCTTCTGAGCACAGCCCTGGTTCCCATCACCCAAGCATTTGCCCATGAGCTTCTTCTCTCCCAGCCTCCCTGCATGCCTCCCCCATGACCTCTTAAAACGCCATCTCTTCCCCAGAGCATACCCCCATAACTCCTGTTTGCCCAGCCTGCCTCCCTGGCTCTCCAGGGTCATATGCAGAGCACAGCAAGTGAGTCACATTTGGCAAATAGACCCCCACAAAAATTCATGAATTTCCCCATCTCGTTTTTCAGACTTGCTGTAAGTCAGTGAGCCAGGCCGGTTGCATCAAAAAACTGTAGTAGCTGACAGACCTGAGCAGTTATCTAATTTTGGCTCTCCAAAATAGCTGTTTAAATGTAAAGCTTCAAAAGTGGCCTACATCTGAGCTATTATCAGAATGCAAGGTTATGAAGTTTGGAGTTTGTGGGAACTGTGGTTGTTTTAGCCAAAAAAAAAAAAAAAAAAACCCTAAACAAACAAGAGAAAACAGGGTGAAATTTCAAGAAGTGAGGGTTTTTACACAGAAAATTCAATTGTCTTCTAAAAAGTTAGTGTGTCAAATTAAGAGTCTACTACAGTCAATAATTATAAACGCAAAATGGCAGTTTTAATCCTGCTTTAAGTGCAAATCTCAATGCAACCTTAATTACTGAATTGTTACTAATACTTCCTTAGTGTGGTTTTTAAAGAAAACTTTTCAGTGCCAAAATAATTTGCTACAGTATTTGTTATATAAAATTTTGTATGTAATATTTATCTGAGGGCCTTCTGCCTTAAAGGATTCAAAATCCATTACAATGGTGGTTGAAGTGATTCCTGTACAGTGGAACTTGTATATATGTTCATAAAGTAACTACCTCCAGGAGACACCACCACACGCTACACAAGCAGGAAGAGGTAACAGTGAAAAAGGGGAGGCCTTTCCTAGTATTTGGTTTTTAAACTACATATTTCTTTCCTTCCTCTCCCCATTACTTAGGTTGGATGCTGACCAAAATCATATCCTGTTGTGCCTTTCCTTTTCTCAGATGAGCAGCTGCTTTTCCAATAGTTCCTATCAGGCAGCTGAGTTGCTTTCAAGATGGCTTTTGAGTTGAAAAGGCTGTTATGACCTTGCTCTACTCCTGCTTTAGCCTTTTCAACAGAACACATTTGAAAGCAGCCCCACTGGGGAAGTGACTGCTGGGCAGCACCAAGAGGGGGAAAGCTTTAAAAACAAATCTAGCTGCTTCAACTCATCTCTCGATTATGCTGCCTTTCGTTTAGAGAACTTCCCTTGTTCACCCAAGTACCTCTAATTTCTAGTTTCAATTGGAAAAGCTTTAAACTACAGGAGTATCAAATGAGCGTGAGACTTGCTATTCCAAGTGAAAAATAACCCTAAATGTTCCTTAGTTTCAACTGAGTATGGTATACTCTCATTTACTGTCCTAACTGTTGTGTAGTTTGTCTTTAATCAGCTGCTGTGTTCAAATCAGAAAGGATTGCCATTTCAGAGGTGAATTGGTTTTGAGTGTTTACTGGATAAGAGGCTTTATGTAACTATACGATATTACGTATTCTATATTAAAAATACACATTCCAGAAATAGACAAATTAGTGCATTTGGTTGAATGGATTTCTTCAATCTGCAGCATAAAAAAAAAAAAAGACAACAAGCTTAGCTAGCGTTTAGTGCTCCACAGAATCCCTAATCTTCTTGAGTGACCTCGTTGGACTTGTGTTACATACTCTCAAAAATTAAAGACAATGGATTAAACAGTGGTCCTTACCTGTCCAAATGTCTGTGGGTCTGAAAGCATCGTTCCACTGGCATCTTCATTTTTTGATCCTGCAGATGCAAGTTGCTCCGGTTGTTCAGGAAGAAAGATGTCATCTAGAGTGCTAGTGGAGGGCTGACTGGGTCGAGGTTTCTCCCATTCTAGGGATGTGGCAGGAAGGCTTGGGGTGACAAACTTTTCTTGTTTAGCTATACTGGACTTCTCAGCTTTAGTTGTCTCTTTTGGAGCAGACTCTTGCCTGTAATATGCTGGAAGGGACTTCTCTCCTTTCTCCATGGATTTGATCTGGCTGGGGGTCAACGACTGGAACTCAGACTGTTCGCCTTCAACCTTTGAGCGCTCTGCATGTATCTTCCAGAAAGATGACTCTTCTTCCTTCCTTGCTGACATTAGCCCATCGGAGCTAGGTACCTTATTACCCTGAGAAGATTTGGGGGCCTGGACACTGGGAGCTGCTTTGACTAGTTGCCTCTGTTCATTTTGTGAACCTTGTTCTTGTATAGACAGAGATGCAACACTGAATTCCATCTGACTCTGTAGGGATTAAAGGGAAAAAAGCAATGTATTTCAAATCTCTTCACAAAGGCAAAAATAATTACATTATGATTGAGATCAAAGGTGTGTAATTGGTGATTTAAGTTACTACAAGGATGGTGCGTATACGTTAACATTTGCACCTATGCCAAAGGGCTTTTAGGATAGGACCAACCAAGAGAAAGGCAGTTTTCTTCCAAGCTTCTACACCCCTGAACTACTGAATGAAGAATCTGACAGAATTAAGTCTTATAACTCCTTTGCAGACCACACACTAGAGGAGAGGTAATCACATATATTTGAGCAATCTGATTCTGTCCAACAATAGACAGTGGCTAATGGATATGTTTAGAAAGGCATAGAAAGTACCTTTAATAGGACTTCTAAGGTGAGAAACTTTATAATGTGTATCAGGCAAACAAGTTTCCATTACCTTCTTTGAAGGTCCAATAATGGGTTAGACATTACAACTTCATCTAATTCAGAAACAGTGGGACATATTTATTTAACTATACATGCTAATTAATTAGTAACAGGCATTCTATCAGTTCATTATCTGTTTTTAAAATTAAGAGCAACAGCTTTAAAAAAAAACAACAAATGTACACTTTTTTCAGAGTTACAACATTTTGTAACTTTGTGGTTATATTGTTTTGTACTACTACCCTCAGTGTAATTAATTCCCAAGAGATCTCATAGAATCATAGAATATCAGGGTTGGAAGGGACCCCAGAAGGTCATCTAGTCCAACCCCCTGCTTGAAGCAGGACCAATTCCCAGTTAAATCATCCCAGCCAGGGCTTTGTCAAGCCTGACCTTAAAAACCTCTAAGGAAGGAGATTCTACCACCTCCCTAGGTAACGCATTCCAGTGTTTCACCACCCTCTTAGTGAAAAAGTTTTTCCTAATATCCAATCTAAACCTCCCCCACTGCAACTTGAGACCATTACTCCTCGTTCTGTCATCTGCTACCATTGAGAACAGTCTAGAGCCATCCTCTTTGGAACCCCCTTTCAGGTAGTTGAAAGCAGCTATCAAATCCCCCCTCATTCTTCTCTTCTGCAGGCTAAACAATCCCAGCTCCCTCAGCCTCTCCTCATAAGTCATGTGTTCTAGACCCCTAATCATTTTTGTTGCCCTTCGCTGGACTCTCTCCAATTTATCCACATCCTTCTTGTAGTGTGGGGCCCAAAACTGGACACAGTACTCCAGATGAGGCCTCACCAATGTCGAATAGAGGGGAACGATCACGTCCCTCGATCTGCTCGCTATGCCCCTACTTATACATCCCAAAATGCCATTGGCCTTCTTGGCAACAAGGGCACATATCATTGTATCAATGGATAAAGAAAACACAGCTATAGTTGTTGTGACCAGTGATCTTTCAAAAATAGTGTAAAGATTGTCAGTAGTGATTTGACTTTGAAAAGCAACAACCGCATTAGTTACTTTACTTACGAGTAGTTTGTTATTACTATAATATGTTGCTGGTACCCTGACAGTACTCCAGAGGGCACAAATAATTTGAGACAGACAATTTATATTTTGTAGAAAGCTGGTTTTACAAAACTTACACATTAAAATGTTTTCATGTCATGTTTCAGTGAACATGTTTTTACTTAAATATTTCTTTGCAGTGCTATGATCCAGAACACAATAGTACTGTAATGAGTGTCAGAAAGGGAAGCAAGTCTAGTTACATTTTCCAAATGCAAACAGTAAACAAACAGCAAAAACGGTGAAAAGTAAATTAGATTTATAAAATCATTACAAACCTAACACTACATGGTCTTAAGGGGAAATGTAAGGAGTTTTGTAAAATGAGTTTTTAGAAGAGCCCTCTTCCAACACGAACCTTCTGTGACAAATCTGCTAAGCATTAGACTAAGATTTCTACCAACCCCTGCCCCACTGCACATTTGCTGCCTTCTGGCCAGATAGGTAGAGAAAGCAGATTCAGAAACTCCATGAAAAGACCATGAACCAGGAAGTGACTGGACACTTTTGGGAAGCAGCAGCAGCATGGCTATCCATGAGCTGCAGGGAACAGACATACAGGGTGAAACTCAGAGGGAACTACAGCCAGAGTAAGGCCTGGTCTACACAACAAAGACAGGCTGACATAGTCACTTTGCACTGATCTAGTTGTGCATGGGTCTGCGTTCAAATTTGTCTCCTACCATTGTCAGTGCCCAGTTATGGCAATGTAGTAACATCACCTCCCCAAACAATGTTGAGTCATGCTTGGCAAAGTGCAGGGATAGACACTGCGTGACCTGTATTGACCCTAACACCCTCCAGCAACTGTCCCATAATGCCCAACATTGAACACTCTGGTCACAATTGTGACCTCCACTGCCCAGGGTGTCACAGAGATGGGAAGGCCCACTCCTCTGCTTTAAAAACCCTACAAATTTTTGAAATGCCCTTCCCTGACTGGTGAGCACGCTTAGTAGCTCTTCATTGTTGCATGCAATTGCCCAACCTACCATGCTGCATACATGCTCTTGCTGCAGTAGAAAGGAGAGATATTGGATCTCTTGGGCCTGTGAGGAGAAGAGGTTGTACAGGCACAGCCACGGAGCAGCTGTAGAAATGGGAATGTCTATGAGCAGACTGTGTGGGGGACGCAGGCAAACGGGCATGACAGGGACCAGCAGCAGTGCCAAGTAAAAGCAAAGGAACTACAACAGGCATACCAGAAGGCCAGGGAGGCCAACATTCAATTTGACGCCAAGTTGCAGACCTGAAGATTCTACAATGAGCTGCATGCCATACTTGGCAGACACCCCCACCAGCACCCTACAGACCAATGGGGATACCTTGGTGGAGCTTGAAATATTCTGCCATGAATAGTGAGGCAGTGGTGGACGAGGATGGGTGACATGTGACCGGGGGAAAGAGGAGTCTAGCTATGCTGCGAGCCAGGATCTGTTCCAGACTCCACAGCAGTCCAGTCAGTCCCAAAAGCTGAGCACGAGCAAGCCCGATGCACAGGAAGGAACTTCAGAGAGCGTGTGAATACATTTCCCATTACAATGTTTAGATGTACAGATGGTGCCAGACCCCAACACAGCAGGACACAGGTAGCAACTTTTCATTAATTTACTTGTACTAGAAGAGGTAGAGTTGGTATCTGCTTTTCATTCCCCTGTAGAGTTAGGGAGGGGGGCCGTGCAGAGTAGTTTGTTTATGTACACAGCGATGTCCCTTGAATCCTCTTGAGAGATCTTGATGAAATTTTCATGGAGGAACTCTGCAATCATGGTTTCTAGGGGTGAAAGCCTTTTTTCTTCCTCCATGGTAGGACACTTCCCCATGCCAGTCAGCGATAACTGCAATGGTGCCTGACGAAGCTAATGGACTAGCAGCATACGGGCCAGAGTGGCTTCAGGATGCCACAAGCAGCTGTGCTCTGTGTCTTTGTTACTTAAAATCAGCACTGCCTGTGGAAAACAGTGCCAATATTCAGAGCCACTGCCCTGTACTTGTACCCCATGGAAGTAGGGGCTGAAATTTGACTCTTTCATGCAGTTGAACAATCCCTCCCCCCCGCCCTGCCCCCAAATACCTCCTGCTAGGCCATATTCACTACGGCTAGGACTGGAGAGCTGCACTGTGCACAGGTGCTCCAAAGTTGAAATGTCAGAAAGCATGTCTTGTTTAAAACCTCAGGGGAGCAAGGCAAGGGAGTTCCGAATCTTAACTTTTGCTTTCCGTTGTGACTATAAATATGATACCTCTGTGTGTTTTATCTGTAGCTGCCACTGCTGTGGCTTTCTGGGGTTCCCCCTCCTCACATGCAGAACACCTGAGCCAGATAAGGAGAAGGATGAGGACATGGGAGGATATGTTCAGTGCAAGCCAGTGCTGCATCAGACAGTGAGCAGATTCACCTGGAGAGTGAATACTACGGACAGTATGGAGAAGGAAAAAGAGTGGAAGAGAGGCCAAGGAGGCCTTGAAAGAAAAGGAAAGGGAAACGTAAATGAAGCTTCTCCAGCAGCACAGATGCTACAGACTCTTGCTGATCTATAGGTTTAACAATCACGGGCTCACCTCCCTTTGCAGTCAACGGAGAGCTCAATTTTACCATTCCCTATACACCCAACATACCATGTGGCATCAGGGCAGCATGCCTATCCCTACCACGCCACATTCAGGACAGTAAGGATACAACCACATCTTCACTTACACTGACCTGTGAAAGCCACACTTGCTGTATCTGCAGCCAAAATGAACGGAAATGGACATGAATGTTCTTTCCCCTTAAATTCCGTTCATTAATTTATTTCTGAGTTTTTATTGTTTATTGCACTGGTTTTGGTACACAATTCATCTTTATTACTTCAAAACATATGTGCAGAATGCCTAGCGCTACTGAAAGTGTCACTGATCCTATGAGTTCTGTGGGCAAACAGTGTAATCATCATAGATGTACAGCAAGCACTGAAAAATTAATAGGTGCATTGATAGTGTTATATTCATAGATGTGCACCAAGCACCACACAATTCCTAAAAGCCCCCAAAACTTTTGGGCACATAGAACACAGTCCATCACACCATATCACTGTTTCTGATTGTTAAAGTTCTCTTTTAAGGCCTCCCTCAGCCACATAGCTCCATGTTGAGCCCTTCTAATCGCCCTTGTGTCTGGCTTTTTGAACTCAGACAGCCATTTGACCTCTGCCTTACACTCTGACAGCAGCTTTTCCTCCTTTGATGTAGGATACAGCAGGCAGCTATAACCACTGGGGTATTTTTCTCACTGAGATCCAATCTTGTAAGTAAACAACACCAGCTTCCCTTCAATCTAATCTACCAAAAGTGTATTCAACTGTTATTCTGCAGCTGCTGAGCTGGTAGTTGAATCTTTCCTTGGTGCTGTCAAAGTGGCAAGCATACAGCTTCATGAGCCAGGTGAGCAAGGGGTATCCTAGGTGCCCCAGGATCATTACTGGCATTTCAACATCCCCAACAGTAATCCACCAGTTGGGAAA